CTCCGTGTTCGAGGCGGTGGCTCAGGACAGCCTGATGGGAGCGGTGAAACCTGCCCTGCAGCACTTGGTCAAGGTGAGTGGGAGGCAGTGAGGGGAGAGGTGTCCTGGGGGTGAACGGGGAGCGCTGCGGAGAGACCCCCGAGGGGCTGCACGGCGCCGTGCTGGGCGCTGGGGTTACCTCCAGCTGCTCTCACAAGCAGCAGAAAAGTTGTGGCACACCAGGTTTGTGTTGTGGACCAGAGTGGAATTTATAGCTGCTGTAATTTGTAATGTAGCACGTTGTTCTGTTTACAGCTCCTTCCCCGTGAGGGAGGTGAGTCGCTCGCACAGGTTGCCCAGAGAAGCTGTGACTGCTCCATCCCTGGGGGTGTTCACAGCCCCAAGCCTGGCAGAGTGTTTGGACAATGCTCTCAGGCACAGGGTGTGATTCTCAGGGATGTCCTGGACAGGGCCAAGAGCTGGACTGGGTCCCTTCCAACTCTGAATATTCTGTGATTCTGAAGTGCTCAAGGCCAGGGTGGATGAGGATTGGAGTAACCTGGTCTAGTGAAAGCTGTCCCTGCCATGGGGGGTTGGAATGAGATGAGCTTTAATGCCCCTTCCAACCCAAACCATCCTGTGATTCTGTGTGTCCTTCCATTTCATGTCTCTTTCACAACAGGTCCTCGCTGAGTCCAATCCTGGCCGTTACAGCTTCCTGTGGCGCTGGTTTGATGAGATCTATGCCCTGCTGGATTTGCTGATCCAGCAACACTACCTGGCCAGGTGTAGTGCTTCCTTCTCTGAAAACTTCTACAGCCTGAAGAGGATTCCCATGGGAGATGGGAGACAGCAGCCTCTGGCCACAGCTGGCCTGCCCAAGAGGCAGCACTGGAAGTCTCTGCTCCTGCTGGTTCTTGTTCCTTACCTGAAAGGAAAGCTGGAGAAACTGGTGTCCAGCCTGAGGGAAGAGGATGAGTACTCCATCCACCCTCCATCATCCTCCTGGAAGCGCTTCTACAGAGCCTTTCTAGCTGCCTACCCCTTTGTAAACATGACCTGGGAGGGCTGGTTTCTTATCCAGCAACTCTGCTACATCCTGGGGAAAGCTCAGCACCATTCCCCCATGCTAAGGCTGGCTGGTGTTCGTCTGGTCAGGCTGACTGCAGAGGATATCCTGGCCCTGGAGGAGAAATTGGATGGAGCCACCTCAAGTGAAACACACAGGTATGTCAGACCATGGCTCAGCTGCTGCTCTCCAGGGGGTCCTGTGGGTGTGATAACTTAGAGGTGATGCTGCAAGTAAAACTGTCTTGTTCTCCCAAAATTCTTCAAGATGAAGTTTAGCTCTGGCAAAATATGCTCTGAAAGGGTGTAAGTAAGGAAACAAGTAGCAGGGATTAGCTTCACAAGATTCTCTGGGGATAAAATGGCAGTGTTTGGGGGCCTTTTTTGGCACACCAGCCTTTATCCTGTTCACTGTTCCAACAAGGGGAGTAGACTGCAGCAGTGTTGCTAAAAGGATTGAAACTTAATTCTTTGGCTTTCCTGAGCAGCAACTAATCATGACCGCACTTAGTATCCTGTGAAATGATCATCCACAAGCGAAACACTCTGTTGTCCAGGTCCCCTCAATCCAAACTCTTCTAATTTAGACTTCTGAACAAAACAGCACTTGAAGCTTTCTTAAAATACAAAGAATCTGAGAGAAACATCTTAGCAGATGACAAACATGGGGCACGCTGACCAACTTACTTAGCATTAAGGAGCTGTATGAAGCAGTGACTCCCCAAGTCCTTTTTAACATGGTTTCCAGATGGATGAATGTGCAGTGCTAACCATGTCTCCACACTTCTCTCTCTGCTGCAGCTTTACATCACGAGTGCAGTCGGCAGTGAGGAAAGCTCTGGGTGGCATTGCCTTCTCCCTGTCCACTGGGCTGTCCGTCAGTGTTTTCTTCCTCCAGTTCCTGGAGTGGTGGTACTCCTCAGAGAACCAGGAGACCATCAAGTCTCTGACAGCTCTGCCAACCCCTCCACCCCCTGTGCACCTGGACCAGGAGCCCAGCTCAGCTCTCCTACCCAAACTGAAGACTGTGTGCCCTCTGTGCCGCAAGATCCGCGTGAATGCCACAGCCCTGTCCACCTCTGGCTTCGTCTTCTGCTACCGCTGTGTGTACACCTATGTGAAGACTCACCAGCGCTGCCCAGTCACAGGTTATGCCACAGAGCTGCAGCACCTTGTCAAACTGTACTCTCCTGAGAGCTGAAAGGCTTGCTAGGAGCCTGTATCACCCCTTCTACATCCCATGGAAGACTTCCAACCTGCCAGGAGCCTGTATCAATCCCATCTTACATCCCATGGAAGATTTCCAACCTGCTAGGAGCCTGTATCACCCCTTCTACGTCCCATGGAAGACTTCCAACCTGCCCAGGAACCCGAATCACCCCTTCTTACATCCCATGGAAGACTTCTGACAGCTACAGCTCCTCGCTGAGCTCTACAGCTCCTTTGAACTTGGTGGTACGTCAGTTTTGCTGCCTATGCAAGTTCTGACAAGGCTCTCCCCTTTGTTGATAAGCTGTTCTAACATCCTGTGGCAGTTCCAGAGGGATCAGCCGGCCACAGTCTGTCAGCTGGCACAGAAATGCCTTCAAAGACCAACTGAAAGGGAACATTGATTTGGATAAGAAGAATGCAGATGTGAGGAACAAAGACCAGCACTGCTAAAAGTGATGCCTGAGGGCATGAGCCAGCAATTAAAGAGGTGGGAAATTCTCTAGGACAGAGGAAATCTCTTCCTCCCTTAGCAGCTTCCCAGGCCCTTCCCAGTGCTGCCCAGGGCGAGCTCTGGCACTTTCAGAGGTGGAGACAGGCTTAAACCTCTGATCTGGTCATGCTGCTCTTCAGTCTCCCACATTTTCAGGCTGCTCACCTTTGGATTGAGAACATCACACCCCTAATTCTCATCAGCAGTTCTGAATTAAGACTGTTGACTCTAAAGGAACAAAAGGTCATGTGTACAAACAAGGAGCCAAGAGGGATGTGGCATTTTCTGCACAAAGGAGGAAAATGACAAACCAGATTAAAACAGAAGCTGCCAAATGATGAGAGTTGTTTTCTGTTAAATAAGTCTTTGCCTTGGTTATGATCTGCTTTTATAAAGCAAAACTCGGAACTGAGAACTTAATTTTTTCTTTATTGGAAGAACTTTGCCTTTATTTGAAAAAAATTTGCCCCTTTGAGGGCTCTGCTTAAGGGAGACAAGACTAAAGCTTTTCATCTTGTCATGTGATGATGATGGATGTAAGATTAGCATTTTGTAGGCTGAGAATCTTTAATGTCTATATTTAAGTTATTCCAATCCCATCCAGGTAGCACATTGACATCACAGCACTGAATAGAGCAGGAAACAAAACCTGTGAGACATGGTTAGTTCTTGCTTGACACCTGATTTTTCAGGATAGAAGGTGTTTTTCCTGACTGTAGGGAGCAGCAGTTGGCTGCTCCAGACATCAGTGATAGTGCTTATGGAATACCAAGAGCAAAGTTTGCTGCACAAAGTACAAGGTCATTCCAGATTAAGAGATATCTTCCCACATTTAGTGCACTGAACCAGGCAGCTCATTTCCCCCCACTTTAGCTCTGCTTCAGAAGATAAATATCTCCAATATCCTCCCTCACCTGTAAGCAAGAGAGCAAGGTTATTGAACAATGTAATTTGCATCCTCCCAAAGATGCTCTGGAAAACACCTCCTGTAACAAATGAGATTTGTCCCCAACACTTGTTTTATTGTCTCTGTACAACTTCCAGACCCTTCTACCTGTGCCACTGTGGAACAGTAATAAAAGCTGTCTCGTTTCTCCTTTCTCCAGTAGCTATGGGATCCATGAAGAAACCTCTCTTCCTTCAGAGAGCCACATCTTACTGGAAGAGAATTCCCATCAAGGTGTTATCTGAGATTTCAAATCACTTTTCAGAGTTGGCTTTGGGCTGGATGTAAATGAATGTCCTGTTGACTGTAGTGCAACTGCTCATTAAAGCAAGGCTGAAGGATTTGACTGATGATTCAGTTTCAGGATAGCTTTATTTTCCTTTTATCCTTCCTGTACTTTCCAAATTATCCATCTGCTGCTCAGGGAGATGCTGGGCAGAGCTGGGACAGAACACTGACCGATGCTGACTCACTCCCAAGCACTGCAGAGCTGTTGGGCATGTTCTGCACAATCCTCCTCCTAATCCACAAGGATTCACTAACAGCTGAACAGCACAAGAATTGCCTCATCCCACACTGCTCCAGGGCCTCTACACCTCCTTCTCCCAGGATTAATCCCTCTCTCTCCAGAATGCCCACCAGATGCCCACCTGCCAGGCCCTGGCTGCCTTCCACTCCACACTGCACAACACCCTGTCCCTGCCAAGCTTGGATTAGGCCAACTCCAAAGCAGCTCCAGGCCCTGCACAGAACCACCCACATCTCAGCCTCCCAGTTCTGAGAGCTGTAATTACTCTTTTGAACATGAAATTGCTCTTTATAGCCTGAGTAACAGGCATTAAGCCCACAATGGTGACAGGCTCAGCAGTCACCTGGCAGATGTTATTAATGTTCTTCTGGAATCCCAACTTGGATTTGGCTGCTGCTTCTAACCCTCCTGTCCTTACCAGCCAAATACATACCCATTCATCAGGTTTATTGCTCTAAAAGCTGCAAAACCAATTGGGGTCATAGAAAATACCCCATTTATCTAATTTTTAACTGTAATAGTGCTTTTAAAGCCATAATGAGCTAAAGATAGACAGAAAAGTTTTTTCAGGGAACACCAACTTTATTGCACCAATCTTTGGACTTACATACTAATTTATGATTCTGTACAGTGATGTATCATACTCATTTGTGACTTCCATACAGGAATGTATCATATAAGCCTTCAAGATTCTTTGTTGTTGCTTAACACAATTTCATCAACCTTAACAGCAGCACTGGAGTTGCTCAGTACATTATTGTCAGAATTTGGCTGTCCAAGTCTTTTAAAAAGTACTTAGAAAACCTAAGGCACATTCATAGCTCATCTAGACAGTACTCAAAAATTAGTGCATTGTCAACTGAGCTGCTTTTTCTACTTCTTTAACAGAAACCATGTGGCTTCTCCTGTTAAGGGAAACCCACTATGTCCTAGGTATATATTCCCCATAGACACTTCCATCTCCACAGGAAGAGAGAAATTAGTGTAGAGATGTTATCACGACCTGGAAGAGAATAAAAAACAGGGTTAGAGAATAGCTCCAGCTCTTTTCCTGTACTTGCTTGATTGGCCCAACCTTTCCCCCAACCCCAAAGGGGCTGCACTTTATCCAGAGTATTCCAAGAACACTCCTGGCTCCATGCTGCCAATTAATTGCAAGGTGAGAATATAGCTGAGCCAACTGCTAATGAGCATCTACAGGAGAGACAGCTCAAACTCCATTTTACAGAGAAGATACAGGGGCAGAGTATCTGGAGTTTCATGAGCCACAGTAACACGTGGAAGAAAACTCAAGTAACTCCTCACTGCATGCTCACACTAACCCCAACACTGCAGCAACACACACAAACCCACACAAGCCTTTGAGCTACTCACTTTTCAAAGCAAGATTTTGTTTTTCTGCTGTTAAAAGAAATTGCTAACAATTCTTAACATTTTTTTTCAATATTTTTTAGGGTGCACCACAAAGTTCCAAGCAGCAGCAAAACTGTTTCCTCTAGATGAGCTTAGCCTAAAGAAGCTCAGAGAGAAGATTACGTGATCATGCCCTGGTCAGAGCAGAGACACAGAGTCTCAGCAATACCAGTTCAGACTATACTTCGCTCATCATTGCTCAGGGAAAATCTATTCCCATCCAATAAGGAGCCTGTTCCAAGCCAGGAGCGGGAAGGTTTCCTCCTCCCTAGGAGGATGTAGCAAGTGGAGCAGGGGAGGCACAGGGAGGGAGGTGACATGCCTGCTAGGACCGAGCTGGAGAAGGTACCAAACTGGGATTGTAAGGCCTGGAGAGCCAATATCAGGTAAAACAAGATTTAAAAAACGCGGCATACCTATAAACGCTGTGCAGTCTCTCTCCAAGGGTCCAGAGGGCTGGTTTGATCCTTCCCTCACGTCACATTTGCACCTTCCCTGTGTTCACCCCTCAGGCCCTGCAGCTCTTCAGCCCTAAGTCCCTCTGCCCGTCCCCCTTACCTCAGTCCCCGCATCCCCCGAGCTCCAGATAGCCTCTCGCATCCCTCTCATCCCTTCGGCCCCCCTCAGCCTCCCTGGCGCCAGGACAGGGCAGTGTCCCCACAACTCCCCAGCATGAGTCCACCCAGCCCCACTCGCCTTCCCCCCGCGCTGCGCCGCCATGCTGGGACGGAGCCACCGCTCTCGTCCCGCCCCGAGGGCAACAGCCAATGGCAGCGCGCGACACCTCCGGGGCAGCCAATAGGAAGACGCGTAACAGAGGTGGAGGCGGTGCGAGCGCTTCCCGCCCTCAGTGGGTCTGAGGGGTCTGAGGGAGCCTGAGGGGGCGGGTGGGTCCAGCCGTGTAATAATATGCTCTGTCTTTTCGCTTAAAAAAATGCCAATAAATTGCTTTTACAGAACTTGTTCCCCCACTCCGTTTCAGCAGCAGTCAGTGTAGGTCAGTGGAACCCAGTTGCTGCACAGCCAGCCTTTAGTGGGAGAAGGAAATCTTCACCCTTTGCTATCAATGGCATTTTTTGTGCTGGTGTCAGAGGTGCTGGGCAGATAAAACGCTACGGAGTTAATGTAAAGTGCTTTTGAAAGATTCAAAATCCCTCAAATTGGGTGTGTGAAAATTGCAGCCCTGTTGGAAACAAAGCATGTTGTTTTCTGCCTCAGACTGTGTCTCCCTTGGCCTGGAGAACAATCCAATGTGCTCCTGCTGTGGTTATAAAGCACCAGTGAACTAACTGGATTCAACAAAATGTTGTACACAGCCAGAATTACCTTCTAAATAAATTTGCCTTTAGGTCATCAAACTATTAGCTTAAACAGAATTTTAGCTTCTCGAAATTCAGGAAGCTAAAAGCAATTCCCATTTATTCCTTCTCCTTAATCAACATAGCAGGAAAGACTTTCCCCATGGCTCCTTTCATAACCCCCAAACCCTCACTATGCTCTGCCTGTGCATCACTGATATTTAATATGACCAGAAATATTTTCATGCACTTGAATTCACATTGGAATCATCGCTGAGTACGATTATGTTTACTATATGATTAGATTTTATTT